TTCTAGTAAGTTGACTTGCTAGCAAAGCTGGGCATGCTCTAATCAACACTGTTCCCCCACAGGGCATAACTTTTTTCTCGCCTGTTGGATAATGAACAATGAACTCAGTACTGATAGTTGGGCAGATCAGTTCACCTACTTTTGAATATGAAGAACTTCGATTTTATTTTCGAAGTTCCTTATGTAATTCCTACTTCTACCATGTGATGATTTTAATGTAGTTTTTGGTGGAAAGTGGAGATCTTGTCATTCCTTATCTTTCCTAGTACTTGTTATAGTTGAAGTTATAGGTGGTGCCAGTGCAACTCTTATCATGTTCTTAATGTGGTGGCATTTTAACTCAGAAAATGGCAAAAGTACGCGTTCGAACTAGCAATGAATTGTTGTTGGCATCAGAAGTTTTCAATGAGATTATGTTTATTGCATTCCATTTTGTTGGGAAGCGAAAATGAATTGTTGTTGGCTTCAGAAGTTTTCAATGAGATTATGTTTATGCCATTCCATATTGTTGGGAAATGAAGCCAAAGCTTTGTTTGTGTGTGTGTGTGTGTGTTTTTCCCACATAAGGTATATATTTGTTTTCTTTTTGTTTGGTTTTTTCTGTTAGGTTGAGCATAAAGGAAAGGAGGAAGGAAAGAAAGGAATAACTAGTAGTTCTATGTTTATATCCTTTCTTCTCAAATGAAGAATTCTTTTCTTAGGGCAGAAATGTGAGAGAGAGGAGAGTTCTTTCCCCTTGCTTCTACCCTCTTTGAGCTGAAAGAATGTGACAGGCCTTGAGGAATAGGCATTCCACTTTTGTGATTTTAAGTTTATCGATTATATATATATATATATATAGCTGAAAGAATGTGACAGGCCTTGAGGAATAGGCATTCCACTTTTGTGATTTTAAGTTTATATATATATATATATATTCTATGAAATTCGGATTCCGATTATGTGCCCAAATTTAAAATTGGTCCTAAAGTCAAAATTTATAAAAAATTAGATAAGAAATTGAGTAAAAGATATTAGGTGACCATTACAGTTGGTTCCAAGATCAAATAAAAAGAGTTTAATAAGATATTAGTACAAAGAAACAAGAATAAAAAAGAATTGATTTTAGTAAAGTTGCAAAGGTTAAAAAAAAACCAAGAAGTAAAGGTGTCCAATGAGGGCTTGGAATTAGGAGAAATTTTTACATGATTCTATATGCGAATAAAAATCTGAACGTGCCGTGATTGGTTGGGATTATGTACTCTTAAACCATGTAATAATTTCTTTGGGAAGGAATTTTTACATGGCTAGTGATGTGTGACCCTATAATTATACACACACACGCAATAGTTATAAGGTCACTCTCCTTATGGCAGCCTTGAGTGTCTTTATATAAAATCCCTAATTAAGATTAACTTTTCTTAAATTTGTAATTTTAATCTACAGGTCTCAAAATCCTTCTTGCTAATTTTAGTAGCCAATGAGATTTCATGAATTTCTTATCACACATCTTGATAGAATTATTCATTCAAAACTTATTTTTTCAACAAATGCACTTTATTATTTCCCCCTTTTTTGGTTTATTTTTAAATAAAATGATGCAAGTGTTCTTACAACAACAATAACTATTCAGCCTTTTCCAATTATTTAGCCTCGGCTACATAAATCTCATTCCATTATATGCTATTTTTAAGATCATAATCATAGTCACTCTACCTGCTGTCTATCCTATCTTTTTGTGTTCCTGTAAAATATTTAAAGTTATAATCTCAGTCAATCACGTGTTTATTATATCTTTTTTGTATACGTATAAAATATTTAAAGTCATAATTTCATTCAATCCACGTGCTATCGTATCTTTCTTTACTAACCTTAGTATTATCTTGAATGTGTAATATGCCACTTTTCTTAACCTATGCACTTAGGGCATGTTTGGTATGCGTTTCGTTTTTTATATTTTTGTTTTTGTCGGGTACTGTAGCAGTGAATAGTGGGAAAAAAAAACGTGTTTTGAAAAAACTATTTTGTTTTGCAAAGTGCTAAAACGCATCGTGAATAGTGGCCAAAAATCAAAACACTAATGTAGTGTTGTTATATATTTTTGCACTATAGCATTTGGTACTGTAGCGATGAACAATAATGTTTTATTTTTTAATGACATTTTTAAACTAACCATTATATTTTTCAAACTTGCAACATTTTTTTTACCAAATATGTTTTTCATATTTTTATTTTCAAAAATCTTGTAACAAATAAAAGTTACCAAACATGTTTCCTATTACCATTTAAAACACTTGATTTATTTCGAGTTAAAATAAAATGCCAAAATCAAAATCCAAATCCCTACCAATCAGGTCCTTAGAGATCTTCTTGCACATATCTAAACCATCTTAACTGATTTTCTCATATTTTATTTCTTATGGATGTTAATTGTTACCCCAACCATCACTCGGAAGTAGCAATCATTTCTAATTGCAAATGACATAAATGTTCTTAATTTTATATAATGTTATATTTTCATATTTATGAAGGACTAATGCTACCTATTGTGAGGTCTACCTAATCAGTTTTTTCACGCTCAAAAATTCATTTACAATGGATTACAAGAATCGATCAAAGTTAATGATGTAATTTAGATAAGAAAAATTATGTAAAATTTTGATTGACTCTTTTGATATATTGTTAATAAATTTTTGAACAAAATATATTTTAAATATATAATTCTAGTTTAGTCTTATTCTAACAAAAAACTGAGGGGAGCTCATGAGAAATCTCAGGAAGCATTAGTCTTTATGAAGTTAAGACAATAATATCATTTTCTTTAAACGGAAAATGTATTTGAAATTAAAACAAATCCAAACATGGTCTCTCATGCATATACGCGTATATATATATATATATATACTCCGTTATTTATGGCCGTTGATAGTTGATAAGTCATATATGCACTGTGTTGCTGAGGGCACAATGATTTTGACATCCAAAGAAAAATTGACATCCAAAGAATAACGGTTAAGGTGGGTGGATTTGAGAGTTGTTGGATCCAATAATTTTGATAGTTCTGTGAAATCGTCAATTTAACATTCCAACCAAAAAGTTGATGATGGTTTCTGTCCCTACCAGAAGGAAAAAAAAAATTCTAAGCAGTAACAACTAACATCCATGGTGTATTTCACTGTTTACTAGAGTTCAAGATATTTTGGGGTTTAATATGATTCATGCTTCGTCATATTGATTGATACATGATGTATTGGTTGGTTTGTAATTTTTTTTTTTTAAAGTCCAATATTGTTACGCATCTTCATAAATCAGTTGATTCGGCCGGTTTAAACTATATTTATTAAAAAATGACATATTATCTTGAAAACATTTTAGGTCGAAACTGATAGAGGTTAAGATACTATGGCTTCATGGTTGGAAACGAAATCGCTAAAGTAGACCTCTTTCTCACATTAACTATATACAATACTAATAACTTTTATTAAAGAAAATTCTCTCTACTTAACTTGTAATAAGCTCAAGGAAATATAAGAACACTTTTTATGTTTTTATTTTTATTTTTTTGAAACTTTATACATAGTGATTTAATTGAAAATTTAGTGAAATAGAGTCAATAAACATTGAGAGTTAAAACAAAGGTAATTAAAAAAAAATTGTATGGGACAGATACGAGAGTAGTTGTATTTATCTAGCAATTAATTTAATACACAAAAGTATAAATAATTTATATATATATATATATATATATATATATATATATAAATTCAATACAAAAGAATCTTGTATTGACCGCAAATATATTTATTTGGTAATTAATATAATGTATGAAAGCATAATTATTTCACTAATATATATATATATAATGAGATACTAACTTCATCTTTTATTGGGTCTTAAACGACTGTCTTAATTGTTTTACGATAAATCTCATCACATAGTATTAGGATAATATTATATGATAAAATTCGGTGTCTCACTTAAGTAAATTGAATTCGTTAACTTAAAATTCCATTCTTTATTCATTATTCCCCCTACCATGGAAAAACACTCAACCCCCTTGTACTTTTCTTAACCTTCTATTATCCGGTTCCAAACAAATGAGAAATTGTTCCATTCTTCCCCATTTCCTTTCCCTTTTCCATCCCATCATTCTTCTTTGGTAGGTGCAAGTTAAAAGAAGACATTGACAGTAACCAAACAATCCACAAGTCCAAACTAGGGATGGTGTGAACACTCTCATATCAATTATCGGCTGTCACCGCTATACATGCAAGAATTAAAGCTTTCACTTTAGAAGTATTTAAAGGGTTAATTAGAGCTTTGACCACCATACCACATCATCTTTTTATAAGCTTTTTGCACAATTATTTTATTTATTTAAAAATATTATCTGTTCGCATATAATGTCTTGGTATTTTGGACTTGTATTAGATTTTTTTCTTTTAAATTTCTAATTCTCATATATTATATGTGATATGAATTTTTATTTATTACACACTTAAATATCTAATCTTGTTCATTAATTTAAAAATATTATCTGTTTGCATATTTATTTACATGTATTGTAATTGTCTTGGTATTTTGGACTTGTATTAGATTATTACTTTTTAATTTATTTTTTATTTTTAATTCACATATTTTATGTATGGTATGAATTTTAATTTATTACACACTTAAATATATAATCTTGTTCATTAATTTAGTAAAACATGTGATTACTAAACATTTTTTTTTAGTAACATCATCACAAAATAAAGAATAAGTCATTACTTATGGTACATGTTTTAATGAAAAATCATTAAAAATATATTTTTACCAATTCAGTATTGATGTATTTTTAGAATTAATCCATTTCATTACGTAAAATTGAGTATTTTAAGAATTCTCGATTTCAAACCGGACGTTACCTCATTTCCTTTCCCTATTCCTTCCTTCAACTCTTGTTTGGTAATCAATATAATCCAACCTTTTTCTTACATTGACATACCAACAAAAAAAACCCAATTGGTTGTTCATACATAACCCAAGCCATAAATTACGTTACTCACTTTTTGGGTAAACGCTGACAAGCCGCCGGCCAAACAGTTCACTACTTCTAGATAGAGAGAGAGAGAGAAAAAAAAAACCAAAAAGAGGAGAGAGAAACTGAGAGTCAGCTACACGCACCGAAGCAATGGAGAAAACCCCAAGCGTTTGAACTTTTCAACCACATCAAAAGGTCAGTCCGTCCTTTCCCCTTCCTCCCCCAAACCCTAATTTATACACAAAATCCATAAATACACACACATATACATCTATATACACACATCTATATACACAGAGCTTGGTTATGGCGGCGACTGTAGAAGGTCAGGATAGGGTTATGGCCACTGCTCAGCAGATAGTGAAGAGTCTCAACACATCGAAAGATGCGGCGGAGGACATGATCATGATCTTCCAGAGCTTCGACAATCGGCTGTCGAGCATCACCGATTTGATGTCCGGCACGAAAATCGGTGATTGCGAGACCGATTCGCGGTTCGATGCCGCCGAGAAGATCGTTCTCCGGTGGGAGTCGAACTCCGAGCTGTCGCGTCACTCTCTGCCGTGGGAGGACTTGCCGGACGAGGCGGCCGAGTACCTCTCCGCCGTCGACGAGATCCTCCAACTGACCGAAGATCTCAATGGTGGTGGTGGGTCCGAGAGCGAGATCATGGATCGAGCTGAGATCGCGCTGCAAATGGCGATGTCGCGGCTCGAGGAAGAGTTTCGTCACATTTTGATTCGGAACACGGTTCCGCTTGATGCGGACCGGCTCTACGGATCGATTCGGAGGGTTTCGTTGTCGTTCGCGTCGAATGATGTGGAAATTGAGTCTTTTGATAGTTTTGGTGAGATTGATCAACTGGGTTACTGTCATGAGAGGGATGCTAGTTTGGGGGATGATTTGTGTGTGGATTTGATTAGTCCAGATGCGGTTGTTGACCTGAAAGAGATTGCGGATCGGATGATTAGGTCTGGTTATGAGAAGGAGTGTTGCCAAGCGTATATCAATGTTCGTCGTGATGTTCTGGATGAGTGCATGTCGATTCTTGGAGTTGAGAGGCTGAGTATTGATGAAGTTCAGAAGATTGAGTGGAAATCATTGGATGAGAAGATGAAGAAGTGGGTTCATGCGATTAAGATTTCCGTTAGGGTTCTTTTGTCTGGCGAGAAGAGGCTTTGTGAGCAAATTTTTAGTGGATCGGAACTGATTAAAGAAGTGTGCTTTGTTGAAACTGCTAAGGCATCTATGATGCAGCTGTTGAATTTCGGCGAGGCAGTGGCGATAGGGAAGAGGTCCTCGGAGAAGCTGTTTCGTATACTTGATATGTATGATGTGCTGGTGGATGTTTTGCCTGATTTGCAGATGTTGTTTACTGATGAACCAGGTACATTAGTTTGCAGTGACGCTGGAAAATTAGTGGAAGGATTGGGTGATGCGGCAATTGGCACACTTGTGGAGTTTGAAAATGCTGTTAAGGGTGAGGCATCTCGGAAGCCAATTCAAGGTGGGGAGATTCACCCGCTGACCCGTTATGTGATGAATTATCTGAAATTGCTGGTTGATTACAGTGATTCTCTGAATGCAGTTTTAGAAATAACTGTGGATAAACCGAACCATTTACTAAGTGATAATAGACATAATTTGCTTTTAGAAGACATGTCTTTGGTAGCACAGCGATTGCTATTGCTAATAACCTCTTTGGAATCAAACCTAGAGGAGAAATCGAGACTGTATGAGGATATTGCAATGCAATATATATTCCTAATGAACAATACCCTTTACATAGTCCAGAAAATAAAAGACTCCGAGCTTGGAAAGATTTTGGGAGATCAATATGTTCGAAAAAGACGTGGTCAGATTCGCCAACATGCCACAAGCTACCTCAGAGCTTCATGGAGCAAGGCCTTGTCCTGCTTGAAGGATGAAGGGATTGGTGGAAGCACAAGTAATGCCTCAAGGGTTGCTCTGAAGGAAAGGTTTAAAAATTTTAATGCGTGCTTTGAAGATATTTACAGGACACAGTCAACTTGGAAGGTCCCAGATGCTCAACTTCGTGAAGAGCTTCGGATATCAATATCAGAGAAAGTGCTTCCAGCTTATCGGGCATTTATGGGAAGGTTCGGGAGTCAGCTAGAGGGTGGAAGACATGCTGGGAAGTACATAAAGTACACACCAGATGATTTAGAGAACTATTTGTTGGATCTATTTGAAGGAACACCAGGCAATGGCATTCAGCACCACCTGAGAAGAAAAAGTACATAGGCTCTCGTAACAGGTAAGCCTCTCATCAAGGACTAGTTGGGATTTACCTCATCTCCTGATTTGGCTTGATGCTGTGCTGTATTGTTGGTATCGATCACAGATTAAATTTAGCCATACTTGCCTCTATATACTGTAATAATGCTGTACATGTATTATATATCTTTAATGTGTGAAACTTATCAGGGTTCATGTATTTGTTGTCATCAATCACATTTGTAGTTGAACTAAAACCGCGGTAATATTTTTATCACATGGAAGGGCTACTTCATACACTGAATGCTGGTTTAGTATGGTGTTACATTTGCACGATTCTATGTTTTTGTAGCATATCCTATTGTTAAGTGACTGGAGACACCACATCCCCCAAAACCAATAAGAAAAATGAATAACTCATTAAATGATTTATTTTTTGAATGTTTGCGTAATGGAGGATTAAAGTCCACTTGTGTAATCCAATTTCCTCCAGATTTGAATAAATTTTTTTTTTCTTAGTGAGGCCATTTTTCTCTTCCTCCTCCCATAATGATTTTCTTAATGAGCAAGTGCGAAGTGTTAGAGGTGTAAAGGAAGTGGGTATGGAGCATATGAGCTTCATTTTGTTGAAGCGTATGCTTCATATGGTTGAAGGGTACTGGGAAGTTCCTTGAGTCTGTAGAAGAAGTGGGTACTACGAATTCATTTAAGTGTGGGTTTTTAGTATAAATTATATGAAATTCGTTACTGAGAAACATTTTTTTGCCAAGTAATTTTTGCCTTCCATGCATCAAAAGTAGTTGTCAAAGAGCAACAACAGTCCCTGCATGAGGGGATGTTGGTCGAGAACAGACAAAGCTCATATGCATTCAAATTTCTTTGTTTGTCATTGTTTCACCAAACATTCTATTTGAGCACTTAGTTTGGTTACTAAGGTTGCATTGGAAAAAAACTTTCAGGGTTTGACCTGCAGTTTCACTGTATTATGTAAGGACATAAGGGTTACCTTTTGAAGTTAAATTATAGATTTGGGATACTGTAATTGCTTCTTGAGCTCCTTTGAACAGCTTAGCCTCCTTTTCTTTTTAGTGAGGTTGGCATTTAATCATGATAAAGGCACATATCAGCTCTACCTGGATTTTATGTGATGTGAAGCAATGCTCCATAATTTGGAGCTTATGATATTTGGAAACTATTTCTGTCAAATAATATCATATTTGGTTGCGCAACTCTTTGTAATATAGTGTAAACAAATTACATGATTTAGAATCATATTTCGGGACTGCTATGAATGTAATTCTTTCTTGGTGAGTGCAAATTTTGATGCACAATCAAGTTTCACCCATATATAAAATACTTATTTTGGAGATTAAATGTGTCATTTTAGAAGTTGACACATTGACTATGATCTGATAACTTATTTTTTTTTTTTATTGTTATTTTTTATTTTGGTTGTTATTGTTGTTGTTTTGAAAAAGATTGTTTCTTAGGATTCATCTTATTATTATGCTAAAGACTTGAATGGTACCTTCGCAGGTTCAGATTCCTTATTGCTTATGATGCTTACTTTGGTATGGGATTGAAAATTGTATTTCTGCATTTTCCTTTTGTGTTTCTGAAGGCTACTAGTTAGTTAATAATTTGGGCTTTAACAATTCTGTAGAATACCTGTGTTCTTGTCTTGTTAATGTAATTTGTTCAAATGTAATTTTACATTTTCCTTCTGTGTCATGATGGCCATTTCGTGTTTTGTCAATTGTGTCGTTGCATTTTTATCCAGTGTCTTCTTTGTTTGGACTTAGATTATGCTAGTTTTTTTATACTCCATTGGCCCTTGGGTTCAAGCGAATACCGACTCTTTTCCCATTTTGAAGTTGGCCCCTTTCATGCCTTGATTTTCGGAGTAAGTTAAACAAGTAATACAACTCTGTCTCTGTTTTCTGGAAACAGAGGCACTCTACACGTAATAGGCTATCATCAGATGAAGTAGAAAGTCTCTAATTTAGTTTTCGAGAAGTATTTAATTCAATTATTTGGTTGTTAAACATACGTACATGGATAAGTATGCATTAGCTTAACTTGGTCAAGCTCGCTTCATATGTTTTTTCCATAATAAATAGAGCTCACTCTAGTCTTAGATTTTTATTTAGAAAAATTATGATACAAAGCTTCCATATCCAATCAGGGTTAATTCATCCAAAAGAGAGGAGATTATTTATCCCTGAAAATATTTTTTAATTATCTTAAGATTCTTTTTCTCCATCTAAGTACATCAACCATTGTTTGATACTTTCAGAGATAAAAATGCCTTCAAGGATGAAGTGTTTTCCTGGACAAGATGAGGTAGAACATATCAAGTATCTATCATTGTTAAAGAGAAGAAGGGAAAGGTTGAAGGTGAAATTGCCATATAACTAGAGCAGGATGGATGAATTTGAGAAGCGATTATGGATATATCATATATATAATGAAACTGCTCTACAAGGCTCCTTGTTTGCAGCCTGTTGAATCAGCCCTTAACATTCTGATCTTTGTTCAGTCAAGGCCTTAACCCACCCGACTTGTGTAAATCCATTTTGTGTTGATCATTCAACCTGAGTTAGCAGTGTACAAAGTGTCTTGGACTTGTCTGTAGATTTCCTTGGTAATTCTTACAGGTAATGAAACAAAATAAGTTAGTGTATATTATATATATATATATATATATATATATATATATATATATATATATATTTCTGTCATTTCATCTCATGAAGTGAAATGGATGGTGGCTTTGGGGGGTTTGACCTATTCAGAGCCCTAACATCCCTGTTATACTTTTTGTCATTAGAGCTTCTTATTGTTAGAGGCTTTTTTTGTAGTTGTTGACAACAGTGAGTGTTTGAATTGGATGATGGTATTGTTTGTGGCTTGCTAAAGTAAGATATGCATGTGGACTCAATTGAAATGAATAGGTTTGAGACCGCATACTTGCTATGTATGATTTGGGTGCTCATTTTTTGAGTTCATTTCAATGTTAGAGTTTCAACTCACAAGTTGGGATTGAAGAAGGAATGTTTACTTATCATGGTTGGAATAATGGAGGGCCAAAATAGAGCACATTGAGCGAAGCCTCTTGGTTCACAAAACAGGTACAGAGAACTCCACTACCCCACCTACTGCGGATCAAAATCCTCTCCAGTCACATTTTTCTCCAGTTCCAGCCTGTGGATGAAATTCTTCACTATGAATGATGAATTTCGTTACTACAATGAAATGAAATTCATGTGAATGTGCTTGCAAGTGAATTTTAGACTCTTATAGTAACGAATTTCATCATTGATAGCGATAACTTCACCCACCTAATGAAATTGCGAAAAACCGAGATTGGAGAGATTTTGATCAGCTTACTGCAGAACGTGTTACATTTAATAAAGAGATGCTACATGCAAAGACATGTGGTATATTGTACACTTTGTGCTTTTTACAAGCAAAAATGATATCTAATTAGGTGCAGCATCCAAGTGGGAGGAGAGGCAACTAATTTGATGTGAAGAAGTAACTCTGGATGTGAATTTGGAAATTGTGTTCAGCAAGAGTAGATGCATTAAAACTTTGCATTATTTAATAGTCTGTTAATTCTACCAAATTAATTCAACAAAATTTAAACATTTGGAGAAGGAATCCGGATTCTCTCCTTTGCCATTTCAGTCCATGTCTGTGGTAATAATTTACAACGCTTACACAACAACTTGGATCGTTTATAAAACAAATCTCAAATTGCTTACCCAATAACTTCATATTATATATGTTGTGTAACTGATGTATTGTGTTATGTAATCGATGTGATTAATTGTGTAAGTGACACATGATGCGAAAAAAAAATCGGTTGGTGGGACTTGAAGTTTCAAGGTCAAAATAATATATGTTAATGGCATGTTTGGGGAAAAAATGTTAAGCATCTTTTGCATGGATAGATATTTTTTATAAAGAATGCCTAATTCTTGATCGGTTTAGTCCACTAAATCAGCTTGATTACTCTTTAGGCCTAAATTATCAAATACAAGATTCCAACACAGATCCTGATTCATCTCCTCCCATTCCAAGCCCACCTGAGAGGACACAAAATAGGATTGGAAACCCAATCAAGGGCTCAAAATGGATGATCCAAAATGGAGCTACCATTGATTTGTATTCCAAACCCGACATCCTCTCTTGTCAGTCGGACTCTCTCATCGAAATTCTTAGGATCTTTATACCATAAACTCGGCATGGCTAGACACGAGAAAACCAGCATGACATCTAAAAGAAAGAATGAGATCGAGAATTCAATTTATATCACCAAAAATAGAAGCCAAAATATCAGAAATCATAATCTCGTCGGATCTGTCGTTGTTGAAGAAGCTAAGCAGTCAATTGATGAGGTCACTAATGCAGTTTTGCCTAACATAGAAACCAACCATTCAAATTAAAATGACAAAAGAATAAAGAGGAGATTTTCCCTCTATTTATTTATTTATTTAATGTTCGCAACAACACAGCCAGGATGGAGTTTTCAGGATACAACAGAATAAACAGACAAACAAACTGTGTCAATAATTACAAGGTGCTTGCCTATGTTACAATCACCATTTCCAGCTGGTCTCCGGTTAACAAACCAAATGCTACCCCATGACACAAAGATCATTCAACAACAACAAAAGGTTAAGAACGAAGTTACTGCCTCTTAGACTCTGTAGTTCTCAGGCAGTGGCAAGACACCGTCAAAAAAGTCTCCAAAGTAACCACGCGGCTCATGTACTAACCTTGAGATTATGTCTCTAAGCGTGATGACCCCTTCTAAATTTCCCTCATCATCAACAACATAAATCCGATGGATTTTCATGGAGTCGAGCATCAGAATAACTTCCTTGACAGTGTTGTCTCTTCTGCATGTAATCATGCCCTTAAACACTGGTGATGACTCTCGATGCTCCACCCGATAGCTTCTGACTGCTGTAAGGAAATTCTTAGCCGTAATAGATCTGTAAAGACATCCCAAATAAGTGTCTTTAGACCCTTTAATTCATCTAAAAATTTGAATATGCAACTCAGCCACTTGAGCCTCACAAGCATTTCACAAGATTAGTAATACAATTACAGAATGGCACAATAGAAGAGGTCTATTTATGCAGACACTGGTGATTTTAGTCGTTTTGATTATACTTAGCATCTCATAATCACCTTCAAATTCAACATAAAAAATGGGACGATTATAGAAAAATTAGGGTGAATGCTGGAATAAGTTCAGCTACTGACCTATAATTCTTGTATATCTCAGGTGCAAGTAGAAGGAATTGAATATCTCTGATGCTTATATTGCCAACTGCCTTACTTCCACCACTTTCAACCACCGGTACACCACCAACTCCCTTTTGTCTCATGAGTCTAAATGCTTGGAGTACTGGTTCATCTTCACAGACCTGCAAACATAGAATAGCACTAAATAACAATTATAAAGTGCAAACCTGGAACAGAAGAAATCATGTTGGCAAATAACACCACTTTTTAAGCAAACGTTGGTAGAAGGCATAAGTAATAAGGTCACTCTTATAGAGGCCAACCTTTTTTCTAGCACGCCCAGTCGAATAACCTTTCTTTTTTTTTTTACTGTTTGAAAATACAAGATGGAAAATTTTCATGCCATAACCAGAGAATTTTTTGGTAGATACGGTGAGAAACTATATCCTGTATTTTCATTCCCATGGGTGAGTACCATGTTTATAGACCGCAAGAAGCAGGTGTGTTTAGTAGTAGGACAAAATAAGGACGTAAATCAATGTTTAAGGTGAGCTGGATAATCTAATAGACCATGGTAACTTTATGACTAAACTTACTAATCAATATTGTCGTGGAAACAATTTTAGCTCAAGAAGGTTCAAAATCCAATTACTCGGGTCAGCTACACAATTTTAGTAATTTTTTTTCATCCATCACCTAGCTATATGGAAAGCCATGTCTTTTTCTTCACCTTACAGTTATCAATACTGGCCTAGCATTAATTCTTCATAAGATTTTTATAAAATTTTAAGCATACTAGATCCTGTCTATGAGTATTAAAAATCTTACAACCATATAAAGGAAATGACCACAGAATCACGTACCTTAACAATGTAATTGGACTTCATCAGAGGAAGACCAATTTCAGATAGTTTCTTAGCCCCCCAGTTTTCAAACCAATGAAGACCAGCACATTCTTCTAACATGTGAATAACAGCAGACTGTGTAATGACCTTATCAATCTTCCTTTCCCCTGGATCAACCACAGGAACACTTTTCATTCTGTATTTTGATAGCAGCAAGAGCACGGTCAAAAGGGAGTTGGATTTCTGCAAAGCAAGAAATGGAGCCCAGCGGAATGTCCCTGAGATGTCTCGAACCTGAAACTCATAAGTTAGTGTGTGTGTGTAGGTACTTGATGAAGAACGATGAACGAGCATGAATGGATTATTTACTGCCATTGTTAAGTTGTAAAAGAACATCATAGTATAGAATAAGTATAACCTTTGTGTTCTTATAAAACTCAGAAGAAGTCAGAGCCTCAAAAAAGTTTCCAGAAGTTATTGTGGCAGAGTTAGAGCCTGAGTTTCGAAGTTTTGTAGGAGAAGATACTCCATTAGCTGCGGCTAAAACAGCAGGCCCATTCTTTGCTTCTGATCCACTTGTAACTAACTCAGAGCCAGCCAATTCATCTTTGCTTTCTGACTGCAAAAGAAATGAACCCATTTATTCAGCTTTCCCTTTGGACAGGACAAAAAAATGCTGAACCAATGAATTAGCCATCAACATTTTGACAAAATAAAAATGTTATATTTGAAGACTTAAAGTATCTCCTTCTACAAGAGCCAAATGCTGCCACTCATGCTAGATTAATCAAGAAAATGAATTTTTACTCTTTTCTTCATTTCACAGTCAATTCCCTTGGCCAAATTATTCAAAATTTCTATCTTACTAAAGAGAAGTAAAATAATTTTATGTTAGAGAAAAGGCCAGCAATGAAATTAAACATTATACTAAAAAGCACTATAGAGAAATCTTCTCATTTTTTGTCAATCCTGTGCACTTGAAATGTGGGTACAAGGGAAGAAATAGCAATCTTGAATTTTTATTCTCCAGTTGAGTGTTACTTCCTATCTGTGCTTACCTATTCCAGGAGAAATGTTGAATTCCAAGATAAAATGTGTGTTGAGCTGTGGCCCGAATTCGCTTTCAGCCCCGCAACCCGGTTTTGTCTCATGGGTCTCTGACCCGGATTCTAGTATCTAATGTAACTTCGTATATAAAGGTGCTGGTGTTTGTATAATTCAAAGAGAACATTGAAAACTGAGATATAGAGTGAGAGAGAGACAAAGGGTGTACTGGGATTAGGGTTGAGAGACTTGTAATCTCCATTCTTCTTCGTATATGGTGAAAACTTTTTACCGATCTTTACCATGGACGTAGGATATAAACCGAACCACATTAAATCTTTGCGTTTTGTTGTGTGTGATTTTTGTTTTCTGCCAATTCTTTATTGTGTTTCTGATTTGCCTGTGTTTGTCATAACAATGTGCTTAACCTTTGGTCCAAAACAAAGCATGTTTCAAACTTTCAATATAATGATATGCATGAACTAACCCTATCGCAATAATCCACAAATTAACATAAATGTATTTGTTCCCTTTAAAGCAAAACAACCACCATCAAGCCATGGATTTCAAAATTGCACTTGATCAGTAATATGAGTTTAATCAAACTGTCTTCCTAATATTTAAAATAAAGTAAGCCATTCTGTTTTCAAGTGTAAAAGTTGGCATGCTAACCTGATGCAGAATCCATACGACAATGCCCGCAAACTCAACAATGCCCATGTATCTGTCAATCCAACTTGAATCCTCAGGTGCGTCGACATCCACAACAGGTGCGCTCAGAATGTTGTGTTCGGACAGTAATTGAACCGCCTCTGCCAGACTGGTATTCGAGTTTATCTCAACAACTAAACACAAGATTTGAAAATACTTTATTAAGGCAACATATCACCCAATAAATATAGAGAATATAGAATATTGGACATCACAAAGGTCATATATAAAAGCTACATAATCCCCACAATGACATGTAACGAAAATAAAAATAAATATAGAAGCATGTGACATAATCCACACAATGACTTGTATAAAGAATATCTTACTAGCACTTCAAATAAGGGTCCCTGCTTTAATCCCCCTAGTTGTACACATACACATGCATATATGCGTGTCTGTTTGGTTGCTGAGAAAAATTAGGGAATCCAAAGATATCAAATATATTTGAATTTTTTTCATCAATTGGTAATAAACTACTCGGCTAAGCTGTAAAATTTTCTATCGTCTTTCCTACTCTTCAGTTTTCTCGCCAACCAAACAGAATACTGACGAAATTACAATTCCTATCTTTCACTTTCATCCAATCTCAAGCTTAATTGAAGACAAATTCAATCATCAAATTTCACAATTCACAATTAATTGGAAGAAATTTCCATCATCAAAAGCTCACACAAATTATAAAATAAAATAAATAAACAGGGCAAAAGATTGATGGGTTTTCCAATTTTCATTGTCAAATTCCTTTCCCTCTTTCAGTTACCAAGTTGAATTCCTATTAATCAAAAGCCAAATCAAGTACACGGAACATCAATTAGATATATATATATATATACACACACACACACATACATATCACACACACAAAAAAACACACACACATAGGATGTATATGTATATACCTTGAGACGAAGGAGCATGAGGGAAGTCAGAGACAGCGATGCCCTCAAAGCAAGCGTTGAGCTTCTCAGTAGGAGTGAGCTGCGGCTCTTGTGTGTCCCACAGATCCTCCACTTGCATTCCTAGCTTCGCCTCCGGACTCGACATTTCACTTCGCGGACTCTCCTCCTTCATTTGCATATTTGCTGGCCGAATCCCCTGCATTTTTCCCACACTTTCTCTCTCTAAAACTCTCTTTTTTTCTCTCTCAAACTCTCCCTCTCTCTCTGTGTCTCTCTCTCTCTCTCTCTAAAAGTCCGTCTCTTCTGCAACTCTAAAGTCACAATGGTGACAAGAATAATATATGCATGAATGATTGGGAATGGGAATTTATTAGATGTGACAAACACCATAGCTTTAATCGTGCTTATCCACCACATCGACTGTTTGATTTGATTTGACTTGATCCACTGATTTTTATGACACGTTTGTGGTCGTGATGGTTGGGGGTGTATCATTGGTGATGGAGTGTGGTGGTCAAATTGGATCAGAGCACTATTCGCTCTTCTTATCCATAGTTTTCAGAACACACTTATCCGGGTTTTATTGGCGGCCGCACTAACATGCGCCGGAGCGTGCTTTGCGCATACCAATGTCGTATTTATCAACACGTCACTCTTTGTTTGATTGGTTTTATTTTATTTTTCTTTCGCCCCTAAAAAAATATATATTTATTTTGAGTTTATCATTTTCTTTACAACTTTTCCCAAATAATATTTATCGACAAAAAATACAAAATCATAGAGACTGGTTCAACTGTTAATTTATGAAGTATGGAAACTGCCTGTAATTATAATTATAATTTTTTTACACATTATTTGATACTTCTCGATATTTCAAGAGGCATATTTAATAATTTTTGAACAATGAAATATAATTTTTTTTTTCCAAAGAAAGTTTCATAATACAATTGCTAAAAAAAAACATTTAGAATTTCTTCAAATAAAAACAATTGAGATATATATCATGACTAATTTACTACAAAATTTATCAATTCAATATAATTCTCAACTTTTTATTTATTGTTATATTTTTTATAAGAACAATATATATAACATTAACTGTAATTAGTATTTAAACATTTGAGTAGAAGAGTTCATATGACAACACACTGTCCAATTCGAACAAGTCACTTCTAATGTGCTAAATTTTAAAGGATACCTATATTTGAGGAGGAGAGAATCTAAGTCATACAATTTTTCTCAACAGGTATCGTTCTTATGTTCCGAGCGCGCTTCCGTTCTCATGCTCCGCGAGTACTCTTGCTCAAATTTTCACTACTTATGACTTAATTTTGTCGCTCTCACGCTCCGGTTCTCAAATTTGCTCTCGTTTCTGCTCCTACTTTATTTGACTTAACATACGACATTACACTTTCGAATTCCAATACACTTTGTTCTAATACGGTAATAAAATGAGAGATTAGTTATATCTAACTTGCTTCATGATTCCTTATTTTAAATAAATTAGAGTGAAATTCTATATTTACATGAATTACTTCCATCTCATTTGAAAATACAATATGTCAGACATAATTTTGTAGCATTTTCTCATAATTCAACAACTTCTTTTATTTTTAGTTAGTGAAATTTGGATGACAGATTGAGCTTGAAATCAAGGTATGTGTCAAAAATAAATAGTTTGATAATTTAATGAAAATGTAGACAGGTTGGGCTTGAAATGGAGCGGGTTGACATGAGATATAGTTTGGTACAAAATTCATTTCAAAGAATCAGATTGGGCTTGAAATGGAGCGGGTTGACCATGTCTTTGAAGGTGGTCTAGACGTCTCCTATATATATTTGAATTTCGAGACACTTTTAACCATTTCGGATTTGTTTACGATGTGTTCCACAGTGTGTTCGGGTCGACACGACCATGGCACTCCTAGACTTTAAAATTACTGTGATTAATTAGAAAATATAATATAATATTTTAATAAATAAAAGTAACATCCAGTGTAAATTAGTGATTATATTGATGATAATGTCAACAAAATCAGCAAAATTATTTTTTATATAATAAATTTTTTTGACATATACATCCCAGTCTTATTTATTTATTTATTTATTTGTTATATTGTTGTATTATATTTTATTCATTTCTCATTTTTGCACTTCCTGAACATTTCAAACCACGACGCATGGTTAGCCCTAATACATTATGCTGAGCCCAACCCAAGTTGAGCCCAACTTTCAACCCAAGCTCACTATCCTAGTCCAACTCACATTCAAAAAATTTAACATCAAATTAAACCCGAGTTAGAGATATCAAGTTGATCTAAAGTTAGTTTTCAATTATATTACTCTGAAGTATGAAAAAAGAAAATTTAAACTTAATTTAAATTTCTAAAAAATTACAAACAAGTTTTTAAAAATTAATTTTCCAAAGTATTAATATATAAATTAAGATTAAAAAAATTTGAAAGGAAAATGGTGATCACAATATATATATATATATAATATTTAAAAAATAAATATAATATTATTCCGATTTGTTTTCAGGTTGGGCCCGATTTACCCTAGGAAGTCCCGTACTAGTGTTGGACACGTATCCAACACTTTTGTGAAGTGTCCAAAAACTATTTTTTATTGGACACGCGAATGACACGGACTAGATACAGCGAAGTATATTTTGTAATTTTTTAAAAGAAAAATAGGGTACCTAATGTAATTTTAAATGTTTAAAAGTAAAATTTTGAAAAAAATAAAAAACAACTACACGGGCGATGAACTAATGACTGAAGAATGTTAAATATGTTAGAAATGTACTTGATCTTATTTGTCTAATTTTGTTGAAAACTTTGCTTGGTTCTTAATTTTGTTGGGAAGGTTGGATTTATAGTATTGTAGATTTTGAATATATAATTATATATATATAATTTCATAGGCGTATCTCTGTCGCATGAAGTGTCTTATTTTTGTCGTCATATTCGTGTCATGTCGTACTCGTATCATGTGTCTGTGTTCGTGTTTCATAGGCACGACCTAACTTAAGTCCAATCCTAATTATGTTATACCCTACAAAATGGTACATCCAAAATGTGGGACAAAGGATTTCAAAATAAAATGTTTTAAAATGCATTTTCACTTCTCAATGCAGTTTGTGTGATAAATTAGTTCAATTTAGACCGTCGTTGAAATTTCTTTAAAATATATTAATATATTTTTGTGAGTTCATTTTTAATCAGTGAGTCTGAATTGAATCAGCCCATCAAATATTAATCGACAAGTACCATAACTACTAATTTTTTTCCAAATAGATTTTTGTGTGACACGTGAAAAATAAGTTCGAGTATCGACATAAAATATAGTATTTTTCATGCACATGTTTCAAATCTCTTCCAAAAAAACCCAGTCAGCTTGCAGTTCTCTTCTTTTTTGCACGCCTTAAAATCACAAAAAATCTACGACACCACTACAAGTGTACCAGCAACAACAAATGGTTGAGAAAAAACACTTAAGAACAAACACTGACGACCAAAGAAGTGGGAGTGTGTTTACCGATTCAAAGAACTGTTTCCTTTTAAGAAAATGATATTTGCATTTAAAGTTAGATTTGATGAATAGTTGGTGGTATTTGACATGACACCATAACAGAATTAGAACATAATAAGGAATAATTAAGTTTGAATTTGACTCAATCTCATTGGGGTGCGTTAATTATTTGATATGACGCCATAAGACAATTCAAAATAAAAGTAGATTTGATTTTGGCACATTATTCATGTTATAGTAGTGTCAATTCAAATTAACACTATAATTATATTCTTGTTTGACATATAAATCTATTTACAACTCATTTAATTAAACATGTCATGTTCGTATTAAAAATGATCTGTTTAATTAAACATGTTAGATAATATTTTAAGTCTTAAATCATTTATTAAATCGATTACACGTGTCGTATCGTGTTATTTGTGTAATGATCATATTGTGTTTGTGTCAATGTTTCTTAACATGATTAATAATCATCTTGTGTTCATATCAACTTATATAACAAAATGCCCAAGTGTTAACAAGACATGCCAACACGAACATTCCTAAATTTGAGTCGCTTCACTTTTTATATATGATTAAAGTAACAGAGTGTGTGGACTATTTTATTTTTATTTCTTTGAGGTAAAAGTAGGGCCAATTGCCCCATTGCCTATATACTAGATTCGTGTCTGAAGGCAAGGATGATGATGATGGAGGATAAAACACGATTAAATTAAGACTACAACACACTTAGAAATAATAATATTGCACACTGATTGATATGTTATAGGAGAAACTAAAATACAATTATTTTGAGACAAAAAATAAAAAATCATTTCATCTCGATTTAATCATGTTGCAACCTCCATGGGTATACATCAAATCAATATGTAAAACTATCATTCCAAGTCATCACTATCATTTCGAAATTAAAAATAATGATGTTGCATCTCTATTTAACTTCTTGTACTTTTATACATGCTACTTTTTACCAAAAAAATGAACAAATAAATACAACGGCATATGCCCTAAATGTCAAAGACATACCTAGACTTAGAGCTCAAAAATATATGTATGTGTTCTTAAGACATACAATTAAATTATACATTTAAATTCCATATAAAAAACGTGCATATATATACAGGAAACATATAGATGGTAAAATTGTTTTTTGGGACCAAACTTTTATGTTATGACTCTATCACTTACCAACTCTAGAAGAAATAGAGATGGTAAAATTGTCTTTTGGGACCAGCCTTTTATGTTATGACTCAATCCACTTACCTTACTCTAAAAATATCCATAGAACTGACCCTTCAAGTGAGATGAATTCGTAAGAGATCGGGTCGAATGAGTGGTGTGTGTGGTTCGATTTTGAGCCCACTTAGATGATTGATGGTCCACTAACGAACTATATTTGTCTTGGCCCATGTGGGCCCAAGTTTATGGTCCGTCCTTTATTGAGAAAATACTGCGCCGCATCATTTTTTAGGCTTACGCGAGAGGGAATTATTGATTGAAAGGGATTGGGAGATGGTCAAGTTTTTCACAATTACTAAAACGTGCTCAATATATATGTCACGTCCACTTCATGTCGACAAGGAGAGACGGCGGTAGTAATTAAAAATAATTTTAAAATTTAAAATTTATGAGATGGCCCTGTACGTAATAAAAAATAACAAAACAAGAGAATTTATATAACCGATTTATTTATTAGAATTATTATTTTAATACAATTCTTCTGAACGCGAAGTTGAATTTTAAACTTAATGTTTCAGATAACACTTACATCAAGTCTAAATTCA